GAAGCCCTGGGAAGCCTTGTGCAGGCTGCGTGCAAGTTGGGGGAAGGGGTGCTTGGTGCAGTACAAGCTCAGGAAGGCCAGGGAATGAGGTTGTGGGGTGCATGCAATCGCAGGGATGCTGAGGAAAGAGGGAGCAGTTTGTGTGTGATCACAGGGAGGCTGTGGAAAGAGGGCATGGGTTATGTGTGGGTGTGGGTATGCGCAATTGTAGGGAGGCTGTGGAAAGAGGGTGCAGGGTATGTGCGTCCATGTGTGTGATTGTGGGAGGCCGAGGAAAGACAGGATGGGGGTGCCTGTGTGATCGCAGAGAAGCCAAGTAAAGCGGGCGAGGGGTGTGTATATGTGCGCGATCGCAGGAAGGCCAAGGAAAGAGGGCAAAGGGTTTGCACATGTGTGTGTGTGATCACAGGGAGGCCAGGGAAAGGGCATGGGGGTGCATGTGTATGATCACAGGGAGGCCATGGAAAGAGGGCGTAGGAGTGCGTGCATATGTGTGTGCAAGTGCAGGGAGGCCAGGGAAAGAGGGTGCAGGGTGTGTGCAAGCAAAGGGAGGAAGGAGAGTGTGGTGCATGCAAGGGAACAAAGGCCGGGCGGAGGAGACTTATCTCAGCGATTTGCAACCTTCCTTGCTGTCTTCCTATTGACTCTGCTTGGGGAAGCTGCCAGGGAAGGGAACAAATAGTGATCCTGTGACTACGGGACGCTGCAACTGGTCATAAGTGCACTGATCATAAGTGTCAGGCTCCTGAATTTTGTTCACGTGACTGCGGGGACGCTGCAGTGGCCAGAACTTCATGCAACACCATCATAACTTTGAATGGTCACTGAATAAATGGTCGTAACTCGAGGACTACCTGTATAGTGATTTTGCTGCCCGAAAATCTTTTGCAAACATAGCTGCTCTTAACCTATGCATCAAGCTAAATTAAGTATCACTATCTGCTAAATTACTTTACGTTATAGATGTGAAGCAAGTTTTCTTTCGGCAAATGATTGAAGCAAATTGATGTAAGAGTGCTTTCATATTAGGGCCAAGCAATGTTCTTATGGAGTACAGCATATAAAATTATAGGCTAGAAAAGAAATCCCATGTTCCTTTCCATCATATTAAATATTTAGTGGCAATTTTTCAAGATGCTCTTGTGACTGCATATTGCATACCTCTCTGTGCCTTGTCAGGCACACCTGTTTTAAATAAGATGCTCCAGGGATCCTGAGCCTCACTGTCTTGTTCTGGTATCCTGATACAGTCAACAGCAAGAAATTAGCTCCTGTCCCATACTGGGCAGCTGAACAGACCAACCTGCTGCTTCGTGGGTAAAGAGTGAGAGTAGCCTGTAGTTGGTTGCACTTTTATTTTGCCAAGGGGCCACATTGTCTAGATTGGGATGGGCCACCTATAGTCTCCCCATCAGTATTTTAAAGCCTCTCTTCAGATGTTTATAAGTTTGCACTGCTGAAACGTAGTGGCACATCATGGATTTGGGTGGCATTAGTGTTGTCCTTTTATTTTTAAATATAGGAATTGGAATATCCAAATTTGGAAAATCAGTAGGTCCAGGTTTTAAGAAACATAAAATATATTTCTTATGATTAATGAGGTAATCCATCAGAAAATACTGTTTCATGTTTACTGAACTCCTCAGAGAATATGTAAAAAAGGTTAGATATTAGAATTTTTTGTGTTGGCATTGAAAGAAATTTGAGACCTCTTTGACTCAAATTATTTGGTTTTGTCGGCCATAGTTCCCTTTTGGTTTCAAGTTATAGCATATGTTAACATAGTCCAGGAGGAAAAATATAGTAGTTATAGATGTAAATGTGATATTGAATTGCACTCCTAAGATATAGAATTCAATATTATGAAGAGTTTTGGCTTTATCAAGCCTGGGATTCGGGAAAGAAAATAATTTTATTTAGATGGAATGAAACTAACTCCCTTGATGTTAAGGAACAGTATCAAGATGCCACCTTGATGCTCTTCCGCAAGGCCCTGAAGACGTGGTTGTGCCAGTGGGCCTGGGGTTCCCAGGTTGATATAGAGCCCATCAAGTGGTTTGTTTGAATGTATTGTTGTTGCCAGGGGGTGGGGGTGTGTGGAGTGGTTTTGTGTTGGGATTTTTATTCTTGTAAGCCGCCCAGAGTCACTGTGAGTGAGTTGGGTGGCCATATAAATTGTTTAAATAAATAAAGATATGTGCTGATTTTTTAAATGATTTTTTCTTCATATATGTATGCGTGTGTGTGTCTGTATATATATAATTTTAAAATTTTTATTAAGAATTTTGATTATAATAGTAAAACCTAATACAAACTAAACTTAAAGAAAGAGAAAGAAAGAGTAAAAAGTGCAAAGAAAAAGGAAAAAAAGAGAAAAGTAAGAATATATTTAAAAAGAAATATGTAAAGAAGTGACTTCCAACCTTCATCACAAGTATAAACAAATTTAGTGACTCTTCACCCCCTCTAAGGTTAGAAACAATTATCTCTTCATCCCATACCCAATCCCTTATCTATAAGCAAATCCATAAAGCATTATCTTTCCAGTCCTGGTGTCAGCAGAAAGTCCATAAAAGGTTGCCAAAAGTAACAACATATCTTGTGTTTACCTTGATCAAATAAACCAACTTTATATTCCTTCCTTTTACTTCTAACAGTTTTAATCTTTGGTTCATTCAAATATTGTTGTGGGATTTGGTTTCTCTTCATTTCTTCTTTATCCTATCACACAGAGTCCTTTAGGTCTTTTACAAGCCTGTTTTGTAAATCCAGTAAGAAAAAATTATCCAGGTCACTTTCTTGTTTTATCATTTGTATTTCTCTTTTGATTTTTAAAATATCAGCCAGTTTCTTTTGTATATCCAGTGAGACATCCTTTTCCAATATATTCTTTTTGCCTGCCATTTGTAAATCCACTTTTGGTACCATCTCTATCTTGTCAGATAAAATTTGTTCCACATCTGTCATTTCCTCAATAACATCTTTTGGACATAGTCTATCCATAGAGGCAGACATCATGACTGACACTGTTGATATTGGGGCTACTAATTTCTGGCTCCCTTCTTCAAGTCTCCTTTAATATTTTCAGTGCTATAAAGTTTTGCATTTCGATCCCAGTTAATTAACACAAGAGGTAGGCTTGTGTTTTTTTTCTTCTGCATAGAATCTTTAGTACAATCTAGTGTCCAGTTTTTAAAATCATAAAATTACTTATCTTTATGTCTTGCAAAAACCAGAACAGATTTATTTCCCACAAGAAGCTGTTTATTCTTTATAATCAATTCCAAAATCTTATTGTAAAAGTTTCCATATTCCAAATTTATGTAGACCCTTAGTCCATTTATAACTTTCTAAGATCAAAGTCTTATTTAGCTTTTTGCTGTCCAAATTCTGTAAATTTTTAAGCTTATGATTAAAATTTTATTTCATTCAGGATTGAAGGAAAACTCACCTGGCGTTTTCAAACTTCTTGTTCCAAAGGTCTCTAATAGCTTAAAATTAGTTAATAAGCAATTTCTGAAAGTGATTAGAAAGTGAGGTTAGCGACCTTAGTGTCCTTTAAAAGGCACCAACCATGGTTGTGAGCAAGATGGCTATTCCCATCACCTCCCAGTGCTCACACCCATGGAAGACCGCTGTCTCCTTGTGAGGAGCAGCCATCAGGAACACACATGGCTGGTCTCCCATCTTCTTGTCTAGAGAGGTTCTGAAGAGCCAGTCTACTCACTGGTTCAACATTCTTCACCACGGTCACTGGCTCTGCTTTCGCGGAGACATCTTCAGTCTACCATTCCTCCCCTGGAAACCAATTTTTTAAATGACTTTTTCTAAAAATGAGAAGATCATATGTTTTTATAAGATCTGGATTATAATGCTCAATTTAAGGATTGAAGAAGGAGGGAGGGA